GTTGTAGCAACTGGTGGCTGATCTGTGAATAAAGCAGATGTCATTGTGGCAGGATAAAGAGAGAATAATCTATCATCCGGCTACTRTCACTGCTGCCCAAACAAGTCATCAAAATGACAACTTTGGTGCGTGGTCATCCATTAAGGTCTGTGTATCACCTTAACTCATCTTGTTACATAAATCGATGGTATGTTATAAATGCTGAGAATTTCTCAGCCTCTTGCCCCTGCCTTTCTCACGGAAGAAGCACAGCTAAGATGTGCTAAGGCACTGACAGGGTGCCAGCTTCCTTTTAGGCTTTGATTGATTTTACACTTCCATCCAAGCTGGTCTGGCCTAAATAAACACAATATATATCCTGAGAAGTTTTTCTCTTTACTGTTTAATCTGAACCCAATTCATGTGGCTTGCAAGTAAAGATGGGCAAGCATCAAAATATTCTGACTGTTGCCCAACCTGAGTACAAAAGTAGAGAGAGAGGCAGATAAATTGCCTTTCGAACTACTCAGAAAGGCTTTAATCCTTTTTTATTTTAAGCTTCTATTTCCAGCCTCACAGTCTGTACTTAGGTCATTGAGTTGTGCCCACTAAGTGAGTCACCTCACATCCCCCTCTTTCTGTGGCAGAGAACACCACGCCGTGTCTGCATGTAGAAATGGGCTGAGCACAGCCCTGGGCTTCCGTTAGAATATTAGTTAACTAATATCTCAGTGATGAAGCATCACAATAACTTGCTTCTATTTTACGGAGACCTTTAGAGCTTGCACTGAGCTCTAGCTTGCCAGAGGTCGTTTGTTCCCAGCACGGGACTCCTATTTGCATCCTCTGCCTTACAAGCCTGCTCTCTGCTCCCTTCTTTGGCTGGCATCTCTGCTAACCATTTGACTTGCGGAGAGAATACCTAGAGCAGGTTACTATGCTTTCCCTGACACCCAAGTCACACTTAATGTGGAAGCTGTATTAATTACTATATGCTTAGCATTTAATGAGGTTAGAAGAGGAAGGAGTTTCCAGATTTCAGCTCTATACCATATGCAGTGAACCTATTTCCARAACACTAAGATCTGGATAAATATTTTGTAAAAGGACGCAAATCAGACATTGCTTGAGTTCCTTAAAACAGCATGGCAAAGCTGAGAGATCTGGGCTCTATTCCTAATTTGTGCACAGACTTCCTTTGTGTCTTCTAGCTATCCTTCCTGTGCTTTCTGTGTCCTGGTTTCCTGGCTGAACATGGGAAATACAGAGAAATATTTTAGATTTGGCTTTAGCCAAATGAAATTGCACCATGTACCAATTGTACATCAAGTAGAGAGCCTTAGCTTGGGCTCACATGGGTCTGCTTAACTAAGACATTTCTCTCCTCTCTGATAGACTCAGTAGTCTGCTTTCCAGCCATTGAAATCTGCAGTGTTTTTCTTCCTTATGTGGCTCTCCTCTTTGCTTTCCAAAACCCTTCTGGGCTGCATCCTATCTATACTATGCCATTAGTTTCTTCAAATCTTTTTTACAGTTTAGTAAAAGTGCTCCTTGTCTGATGAACTGCGCTCTATACTAAAAAGCACTTCACTCTGCAGAAGTGTGATAGGAATTACTTTTCTGCAAGACACTGCTGCTATCACTTGCAGAATCTCCACCTTCCGCCGCTGAGAACAAGCCATAATACGTGATAGCTTAAAAAGAAACCCTGGGGACTATACAGACACTTCTCTAATGGGTTTTGATTTAATTTATGTCAGGCCAGAAGTAGATATCTGCTTTGTCACTGAAATGCCAAAAATGTTATGGCATTTATGGTCTCTTATTGTGTAAATAGAGAAGGGATTTCAGACTAGGGGGATAAATGGCATAAAGGATCTGCYAAGCTCACATGAAAAATCTTAATGGCCAAAACAATCAGTTTRCTGGCATCAGGTGAAAGCAAGTTCAAAAATAACATTGGGAGAATAAAAAAAAATAGAGACAAGGAAAAGGCCATGAAAATGAGTAAACATGATTAACAGGGAATATTGGATACCATTCACTGCATGATCCTTCTGCAGTCCCATTTAAAATGAGAGTCTGCCTGATGGAGAACAACATTCAATACTGTCTCTTCACAGTTTTTTGCTACGTTTTATTATACAAGTTTGTCAGTTATGGAACAGCTATTCAGGTTCACTTTAACTTCATGTTAAATAACTGTTAGTGTGGCTTTCTCAACAATAGTGAAATGGTAAGCTGTATTAGATGACTAGAGTAATTCTGGGTTTCTTGTATTGGGCTGCAGAATTACAAGTAGGTTGCAGCCAATGTTCTAGGTGCAGGTGTTCTCCTCTAGTGTGCCCTGTTCTCATACGCAGGGAGAAATCAAGGCACAGAAACTGTCAGTAGCATGAAGGAGTGCACAGGACACCAAAAATCACTCTGCTTGCTCAGGGACAATAAAATAACRCGTATGTACGTGGTGCAGGCGAGCACACTGGTGAAATGGGAATCTGGAAGGATGCTGCGTAGTGTGATGTTCCCCCTAAAAGTACCTGCCATGAGTACAGGAGAGGCRCGGAAGGCTCTGCGTGCTGGCAGCACAGAGAACTGTCCACATCAACCACCACAAAGTGGACTGCGGCTCCAGTACCCTATGCACATGTAGGTTTTGGTGTTGGGGAAAGATGGAAGCCAGTATGGAAAAATATTGGAAAAGCATATTTGCTATGCTTTCCATGCTAAGAGTATTTCAGTATGTGCTGATAACTCRCATGAGTTTGGTAGCATCTTTTTGACCTTACATCTGTACTTTGTGCACACAGTTCTGAAAACATTTTCTCAAAGGTTAATGTAAACTCGTCTTTTCCCACAGAAATCCAAACCTTACTATAAAGCAGGCATCTTACATAACAAGAGTGTGATACAGTGACTTTACTGACAAAAATACAGGATTAAGGGAGAGAAATTATATGGACTTGAGCATAGATAGCAAATACAGCACGGTATAGCTCTAAGTGTGGTCTCTCCAAGATGTGCTTTTGACCTCCTGGTTCCTAATCACTCGAAATATGGTAGTGAATCCATAAATATGCACCAGSGACAAAATGCAAACAGGAGTAGTTCCATAAAACTGCAAAGCATCAGAAGAAGCCTTTAGAGCTTAAAAATATTGTCTCTGAACCGTTCAAGGATGGGGGGACCACAAAGTTCTAATACTCTTCTTCAGATATCTGGGGTTCATTAGGTTCAAGTTCATCATTTTAACTTAATCATAGGTTACTAAACTTTGTTTCCAAGAAAATGATTCCCTAAATTTTCATTTGGGATTAAAATGTTTGCCTTTGAGGAATTATTGGTATGATTTTGCCTGGAGATCATTAACTGGTACAGTGAATTAAATCACTTCTCACATTGACAGCTATCTGAGAAAACCTTGAGTTAAGAGAGGAGTGTTTCAGTCTAGAGAAGCTCTATAGTCTGGTGTCCCGCTGTGTGAGAAGTGTCTAGTGCTCGATTCAATTATGGAAAGTTCTGGAATATTAAAGGTCCTGGATCAGACTGCTTGCCTGCTGGTCAGCACTGGGGTATCAGTCAGGATTTGTCTCCCCTYTCTAGGCATCAGCAGTTTAGTCCTGCTAAAGGACTTGTTGTTCAGCAGATCTTGGGATTACAGGTTTGGTTGGGTTCTATTAATACACTCATTTTGGACATCCACAGTGCATCTTTCCCCATTATAACAATAGACATGCAAATATTGCCAGAATTGCTGAATCTTCAGTTGAATGTGTGCGCCCTGACTGCAGTCTGTGATGTTTCCATACTCAAAAGATTGCTTTTTAAATGCACTTGGTGAGAACAGTTCTTGTAATCCCAGAGAGAGTTCATTAAGCGGTTAGTGTAAAATAGTGTATGTTTATTTTTTTCTTTCTCGCAGTATCTCCTTGTATGTATCTTTAGAAGAGCTYTAGAATAGCTTTACCAACTAGCCACTTCAGATTAGGTTTTAAGGATGTTTTCATTCTAATTATCACTGCTGAAAGTGTCTGCATAGCAAGGAAAAACACTGTTTGATTTGTAGTTTATGCAGGTATTCAAGTAGTCAAGCTAACTGTAATCAAGTTAGTTGTCCTTTTAAAAAAGGCGGAGAGGTAAAATTCTTAAAACATGCTTAGGAATTCCAGTGCCGAATGGCCTCTTGCCCATGAATTCAAGTTCTAGCATCAAATAAGGAAGTGAAATTTCATTTAAAAAAAGAAAAAAAAAGAACAAAAAAAAAGCTTCCCAGATTGCAGTGATGTTTGTTCTCATACTCCTCCTCCTTTTATTATAGTCAAATGTTATTATACTAAAATGTTGAAGTATTTTTAATGGTCTTAGGTGAGAGATTTGCCTCAGGATGTTGAGTGGGCCCTGCGTGCATCTGTAATCTCTGGTCTCTGTGGTGTTTCTTTTGCCATGGGAAGCCAGGGACCTGCACTGTGTGCTGGCTAGAAGTTTGTTTCCTTTATTGATAACACTCCTCACCTTATTCAATTGGGGCAGAATCCTGCATGTCCCAGAGAGAACATACACTGCCATCAGCAGCTCTGGGCCACGCTTTTACCCAAAGGAAAACTATTATCATCACACTAGCTCTTCATCAGTTGCAAACAGATCAAGCAGGAGCAATAGAATGAGTCTAGAGGTAGGAACATGTATACCCCACAGATAGCTGAAGAAACAAGAAGGCATGAAAAAGGAAATGCAAAAAAATGGAGCACAAGATGGTTTCTCTAGGCTCTGAAGAACAAGTAAGTGAGCAGGCTTTGTATTTGCCTGGAGGTTTTTGCTGGATTTTTTTCCCTTTTTGGGGGAAAAGAATAATATAAAAGCTCAAAGGAGTTGGATAAAAAGTATGCTTTGTATCCTATCTATGAGAATCAGGCGATGTGTCATGCTAGTTTTTACAGTCATAGTCTACAGTCTTCCACTGATTAAAATCAAATTTGACAGTAACACAATATAGAGGTTTAACTGACAGCACACACAGCACATTTGCTAGTCATAACGCCACAGTTTAATGACTGACGCATGTGGGAAGCTAATTCAGAGTTTTTTCCTGAATGGGATAAATGAGCATCCAGTTAATACCAATCATGAATTCAAACCATGTGACAGAATTGATGCTACATCCCCTGTTCTTGTTTTGCGTATTCTGCAAATTGAACCCCAGGAAAAGAGCCACTTTGTACACACATCCAGAGAGAAAGTCCATTCTGCTTTCCGACACATCCACCGGTGCAGCTGAATGTCTCCAGCTGGCTACTGTTGGGCCTCCCTCTGTTAAATAGCCTAAGGATTACAAACTGTATGTCTGGTTTGAGAAAAAGTACAGGTTGAACAAGCAGACGTAGTATAAATAAAATATTTATATAAAAATAGCCTCTTACAAAATATACTCTCTTATCCTATGGTTGTTTTTCCAAAAGATGGAAGTTTGTCTGGAGTTCCTTATTTCTAGACATATTCCAAACAGGATTTTCTTAATGCTTCTTTCTTTAATTGATGAAAAAAAAAATCTGGTAAAGATTTAAAACCTCTACCATATAATTTTTGTTCCAGACAACTAGCAGCAAACAGCACACACAAAAAAAAAAGTGTGTTTGTGTATGTACATATATATAAAGACACCAGCTTTAGAACTTAAACATCCAGCACTGTAGAACATATCCTGCAAGTCCAACTAGTAGAAATATCCCAGTAAAGAATAATATATACAGCTCCAGTTTTTCCTTGCTGTTTCTACAAAACTATTCCACAAAGAAAGCAAGCTATCTACTTTAATTGCAGAACAGGTCCAAAAACGTCGGTAGAGTTCTTTTTAATTAAATAAATTAATATTAGTTTTATCTGAATAAATTGTTAAATATTGCTATTATTATGCCCAGATGTCCCCAATCCCTGTGCCAGAATTCACAGCGCACGCGCGCACACACACGAAACGGCAGATAAAGCAGCGCCTACAGCAACCCCAACAGTTCAACTTGCCGTAGCAAAGGGTACCGAGGGGGAAGGTGGGCCAGACCAGCAGAAGCTTTTCACGAGTGCAGAAGCCTAACTCCGTGCCACCCACACACTTACACAGGCAATTCAGCCCAGGCACTGTCCATCCCGCGCGGTGCAAAGCCCCTCTCTAAGGAGGATCCCCTTTCTCTCCCCTGTTCTTATGCACTGAAGTTCTCAATCATCTCTTTCAAAACCAATCGAGTCCATTGCCAAGCTCAGAGTTTTCCCTCTGGCTGGTGTCTCTTCACAGGGCAGTCACAGCTTTGTGCTCTAGAGGTGCTGATTGACGGAGAGGATCTCTTTTTTTCTGGTTTATACGTCAAGCAGCTTGGCGGAGGGTTGTCTTTGTTTCTTGGTTGACTTCCATGAGTTTGAAGAGCGTATCCATATAAGCAGCGAAGCACAAGAGGAAAAGACAGGGATGACTTGTCCTGGGCGAGCAGGGCTGTGCCTCAGTCCCGCGTGGGCAGGTCGAGCGTGTGTGCCAACGCGGGCTCACTTACACGTGTACACCTCGGTCCTCTCGCTGCACGTGTTGCACTTGACGTAGCAGCACCAGTGGAACTTGCAGTTGCACTGCCACACGCGCGAGTACTGGTGGGTGTTGTAGCCTCGGCCGCAGCACATCAGGTCGCAGCCGTTGGACTGCTGGGCTGTCTTGTTGCACATCCGCCCTTGCGTCCCCACGCTGCCCGTGACGGGGTCTTCTTCACAGTAATTGGGAGACTTTTCTATGTACACTAAATCCGTATCCATGGGTTTGCGATAGGAAAGCGGCTTCTTAATTTTAAGGAAGGTCGGACGCTTGTTACGGCTCGCCCTCACCGGTTCCACTTGAACTGCTTCGTTGTACTTGTCCTTAAGGATGTAGCCCAGCTCCCGGAATTTGGGAAGAGTTGTCCAGCATGTTTTGGTGGTGCAGGATCCGGACACCCCGTGGCACTTGCATTCCAACTTCATGTTTTCTTCCAGAATCTAGAACAGAGAATGATGCGTTAATACAAAGCAGGTCGTACTCGGATCAAGCAGCATTATTTGATGCATCCTGAATGAGAGGTGCAGGCTAYGCTGCTCCCCAGCACAGGTTCACTCCAAAACTGTGGATTTTGCCTCCTCACTCCACAGATACTCCACAAACTCTGCCCATGAGGCAGATTCCCTATTTACACCTGACTTAAGCAGGGAAGAAAACTTTGCCCAGTTTCACAGCCTACAGACCAAAAGTAAAATGGGATCCATATCAACCACAATTTGGTTTCACACTGCTTTGCTGTAGAAATGTATAGCACTTCATGTTAGTCTGTTTGGTRCTTTTTGGCATATGGTATTAAAGTATGAACTATCAGAAAATAACATCTTTGTTATGGCACCTATATGGCAATGATACATAACAGAACTTGATTTTTGTAAACTGAGTTGGAAAAGTAAGCTTAATTCCCCTTCTTGAACCTAAAATGATCTAAGTTGGTGCAAGATGTGAACAAGCAGATAAAGCCTATCAGTTGTTATCCTTATGTTGGTTGGTCTTATTAACCAGCAATACAAAGCACATAATGGTTTATTGTACAGATTTTCTAAAACATTGCAAGTTAATACTCCAACTTGAAAACCTGATTTATTTCAGTGCACTATAATCTTATGTTCTTTGAGCTTTCTGAAGTGTTTTGCCTCCTCTCTCATGGATAAAAGAGCATGCAAAATGCCCAGGCAGCTTTGCAAGCAAGCTGGCTTTATCTTGGAGCATAAAGGATAAGAGTGAGAAGGAGGAATTGCTTTCATGTTTTGACATCAATTCTTATTAAAAAGAACAAAACAAAACAAAAAAAAAAMCCCTAACACCTCCTTAATATTACAGAAGATATTATAGGAGCATCTCAAACCGCATCACGGCTTGTTCTACTCTATCCTGCTTTTCCCCCTCAGGGTTTCTCATGTTTGTGCCTGAGTTGTCACTACTTTCCTTTTGAAGACAGCAAGTTTCATTTTCCTTTCAACCTCTACCTCTTTTGAAACCTTATACACATGTTATTTYTCTCCTGCTGCTTATTTACCAATCCAGTCCCTGACAAGTAAAACTGGATACCAGCTTAGTTCCGTCCGTCTAGCTGAACTCTCTTAAGAACGATTCTGGGTTGATGCTAGAAAAAGAGAAGTCTATTTCCAGCACTGAATTTCACACTGGTATTGGCTTGAAAGAGAACAGAATAATGTTGCTGATTAAATTCTGCTTAACCTGGCAGATAGCAGTAGGCAGTCCAGCCAGAGGGATTATCTGGGTCCAAGGAGTGGCCACATGAATTCTTGCCACGAGAAACCCCAGCTGATCTATGTAGCATTGAAAATGAGTAGCCAAGGAGGTTAGTGATATGGAAATCCGCTATGCAGTGTATCTCTGTAAATCTTCCCCTTCAGTTTGGGCTTTTGGAAAACTTACCATGCAAGCACATGCCTTTCCAGAGGCACAAGGACTGGCTGCTGCTGGAAGTGGCAGTCTGCACTGAAGGAGATAAGTCCATCTTTGAGACTAGAGACACTGGGACTTCAAGTCTAAAATCTCAGCATAAATTGGTGGTAGGGAGGGATTAGAGCACATCTTAAGATGACCAGCCAGCAAGACATTGATACTGGCAAAATGTAACTGTATTCAGTTTTTGGAAGACTTAAAATAAACCATGTAGAGACTGTGCAGTCTCTTACTAGTTAGATCTTTAGGCTGTTCCCATGTCGGCTGTAATGGAAATTGTTATTGCCTGATCTAGGAGAGTTTGGTTTAGCTTTCACTTCTTGTTCTTCCTTTGCTCCCTTTCAATGAAAAACTAGATTTTAAATGCAATCTTGATTTGTATTTTAGTTCATGAACTGTAAGTACACCTGGTGCAAAGACTGGTTTTAAATACATAGAAAGTATYGGTCCAAACTTTTGATAGCTATATACTCAGATTATGTTACTCTGTCCACCCAAATACTGTCCACTGTCCACCTAATTTTCCTAAAACTCAGATGTGAGAAAACTTTATATGCAGATTTACATCTGCTCACACTTTGGCTTTCGTTTGCATTATCTTGTTATCTTAAGTTCCTCTCCAGCCACRGCATACTTCTTTTATTGCTCACTCATTCATAAGGTATTGCACTTAGAAGATAGATGAGGAGATGGAAAAGGAGTTATAGTGCAGAAACCGGAAAAATAACATAAATTCTTTTAGCCTCATTTATGCCTTTTTAAGAGCTCTTCTTAATTTGAAACTAGSCAGGAATTCATTTCTCAGTCCTAATGCAATCACTTCTCTCATTCAAGTGGCTGAGCTTATACCTTGCTATGATCAAACTCGCAACGAAGTACTTTTAACATCAGGATCCACCACATTGTCTTGATACATTAAYACCAAACACATCATATTTTGGTGTCATCTATCCAGGTAGGTTTTTTCCTGAAGTGTAGTTAAAGAGCCTAAATTGCTTTTTGYTATTTTCCTTTAGCATGCCGTTTACAGTGAGTGATCTCTTAGAGAGCAAGAAGGAGCTGAGCAAACTGAAGGGCTAGAGCAACGATGGAGAGGCCTCGTGTCACATGTTGATCTTTCTGTTCTGCACGACGTGGTGGCAACCAGAACTGGCTCTCAGACTTTTTGGGCACAAGCAGGGTGAAAATATCTAACTTCAAAACATCAGTTCGGGGAATAGTTGTTGAGTCCAACTAGCAGGAGTCCTTTTTAGAAGACTGCAATTCTTGCAGTTTTGTGGCTGGCAGATGCAGGGTAAGGAAGCGTTTTGTCTCTTAGTGCTGTGCCACACTGACTGTTTTCAGTTTTTGTGTTTAAGACTTACTGGCTAACCCTCCCTTTTCTCCTTTGCACCTACCTAGGGGAGCATTTCTGGTACAATAAGCTAAAAACACTCCAACACACCTGCCCATTTCGCCTACTGTACTCTGCAAGTGGATTTTCCTTTCCATTTCTGTCTTTTATAGTCAGCTTTTCTGCCTCCTGCTCACAAATGCTTGCAGCGGCTCTGCTTGTGTATCTTCCTTCCGCTGTCTTMCAGTGTCATGTTTTGTAGATTGAGCCAAAGATTAATTAATTCTTRTAGGCTTTAGAAAATAGGCTACATGTAATCTGAAACATCTGTCTTCTGCAAAGAAAAGGTCTGCAGTGGTGATTTGAGAGTTTTATTGTAGTGTGATATCAGGTGCTTGCGCTATTTGTCTTGCATTAAAATATGTGTATAGTGGTATGTTAATACTGTTATATTACTCTAATAGCCTCTGATAAATCAATGACTTTGTTAATGCAGGATAGGAGTTGAAAAGGGATGGAAGAAAATAAAAGGGATTCTCTGGCTAGGGACAGGAGGTCTGTGCCTMACCCTTGGTTTCTATGAGCCAAAAGAAGGCTTCTAACTCTTAATAAATTTTTCTGCATTGAAAACAGAAGAAACATCTTCACTAGAGATCAGGACTTGTTTCTTTGAAGGTCTTAGTTACTAGCTCGTGCCTTTTATGTTGGATTAAAACCTAGTATGTGTTTGAGACAGATTTTACCTAAAAGATAGGAGTCTAAAGGGTACAAAATTGAAATCCTAGATTCTCTGTTTCTTACCAAATGACCATACCCAGCTTCACCAGCCATGGAAAGGAAATCTGTATGCACCAGTGAGTKCTCTGAACTGGATTAAATGCTAACARAGAGCCCAAGTTCCTCTAGCTTTGTCCACTTTTTCTTTGAGTTCCTGCAGCAAACTGTCAGTACTTGTTTTTCTCCCCCTCTCCTTTGCCATTAGCCTCTGGGAAATAGTTTGTCAAAGGAGAACTGCGTGGCTGTCTCCCTTGCTGTTATCCCCGGGTACAGCCCCTTCGGGCGCTGCCGTAAGGAGCCCTACGTGTTTTCTCCGTGCTGCTGGTTTTGCAGGACGCGCGCAGCCCGTGTCCCGCACGGGGGGCAAGGGCCAGTGCTGGGGCGTCGCGAGCCGCAGGGCCACGCGAGGGATGCGTTGGCGGCGCCCGGCTGTGCCCTGCTCGCCGCTCGCGCGGCTCCCGAGGGAGGCGGCAGCAGGCCTGGAGCGTCTGGTTGTGCAGGGCCGGGCGCTGCTGCGCCAGCCACCGCCATCGCAGGCCGCGTCCGGAGCGCAGCCAGGCCCGGGGCGGCATGGGCCGCGCGGGTCCTGCGGCCGTGGTCAAGGGGGAAGTCGCTGAGTGTCTGGTGTGGCCAGGAGGGCTGGTAGGGTTTGCCAGCTTGCTCGCCAGAGTTAGGCTGCGCTCTGTGCTCCTCTTGGCTTCTTGGTGTGGCTAACCTCCACCCGTGCCTTGGCCAGGCTGGGTTTCTCTGTCTTGATTTCAGCAAACGTGGTGGTGATGGGTTTACGGTTGGACTTGATGATCTTGAAGGTCTTTTCCAGCTATTATAATTCTGTGATATGGTAGTCTACAACCATACACACTACACCATGCAGAGATAGGTCTTGCCAGCCTTGCCTTGCTCTCCAAAATGCTGAACACGCAACATCAGAGTCCCCTGCAGGTCTTGGAGCACAAAATACCCGCCTCCTGTGCGTCTCCCTCACCAACAGAATGCCCTCAGAAACTCAATGCTGCCTCTTCAGCCACCATGGCAATGATTCAGCGTTAACATGGCATTGGTGCAACAGGRCTCGAGGTCAGGAAGCCACGTTGCATCACCAGAATAGCTCAGATTCCAAACTGCGTGCAAGGAAGGTGTAATCAGTGAGGCAACAGAYGCTGTCTCCTAGCCCACCAGAGCCACAATCTTTCCTCCTTTTGCCTGACATCACATCATCTAGGTCAGGAAATACCTATCTCCTACAAGTACTTGCAGATGAACCTTTACTATATAGGTCAAAGAAAACACAAATATTGGCAAAAAGGTGTGAATTTCTCACTCCAGAGAACTTGGAAGAGCTTTAAGTGCGGCCATGGCACTTCTGTTGTGCTCAAGAGGCCTTTGGGCAGATGCAGTCCT